TTAAGAAAGGTATGAGTTACTTTTTGGAGTTTCTGAAAAACTGGTTTTCTAGAAAACCAGGTCTTCGAAGGCCTAGCAGCAAAAACCATTGTCATATTCAGAATCAGCATAGTCGATAACCTATTCTCCACTAGATTTCAAGAAAAAAGCGAGCGGACACATGGGGCAGTTCCCTCGTTAGTCTGAGAAAATGAAAAATTCATTTTCGTCGCCTGATTCATGAAGTGCAACGTCAGTAGCCTTTTGCGAAAGTGAAAAGTGGTTTTAACTAGGGATGTTATGAACCGGAACGTTCGAAGTTCGAGTTCGACTTCAAACATGTTCGAACCTTCGAGTTCGAGTTTGACATCAAATATTTAACAAAGCAAAGTAGATTATCAGACAATTATTATATATACTCCTTAACACGAGTTTGGCACATATTGATGTTTTTCTTTCGCTTTCGCACTTTTACTCGAAAAACAATTTTTACTATAAACAAAAGCGTGAATAACATAGATTTCTTTTGTTCTGATATGTATGAATTTATAGGAAAAGTCCTAAATTAATTTCTTCTTATTTCTGTAGCTTTGAGCTGACAATGAACATTTAGGGCTTTTCTTGTAAATTCTATAACTTTGCAAAGAAAGGTCGTGTAGAGCTGGGAGGCATCTCATTCTAATCAGAAATTTACGGGCTTCTAATTTATTAAAAAGGTTTAAGCTTTCGGAAACTGGTTTTTCAGAAAACTGCTCTCTGAAAACCCAAGGACGGCTGACATGGTGATATTCGGAATCAGGGTAGTTAATAATCTATGACCCACTTAAAAAAAGATTTTTTGGTCGACTAATTTCGAGATACTACGGGTTTTACCGGACGAGGTCTGCGCGAAAACCTCTTTGGAAAAATTTACTTGCTACATGGATAAACGTCCCATGAGATGCTCTTTCCAGTGGCGGAAACCGCTGGTCTCTATGTCTTTTCTTTCCGGAGTTATAAGCGTTTTGTTCACTCATCTTATTTTCAGAAATATATAATAGTTACAGTAATGGTAAACAGCCAGACCGATTCGCCATTTCATTTGATCTGAGGCAGTACTATATAAGGAGCACGAAAAATTTCAAGTTTTTCTCATCGACTTTTAGTCGTCTGTATTCGTTGAAGTAGTCTCTGATGACTCTCTACAGGCAGTAAGCTACAGCCAGTTGGTACCAGTACTAGTTAGCCATGCTGGTTAAAATTAATCCATAAGAAAGAAAAAATGGGGAAAATCGAATTTACATTGATGGACGCCATCAAAAGCATTGTTCCTTATCTTCTGGTACCATTCTAAGAAGAATTTCATAGTTATGCCTTCAAGTAAATGTTAAAAACTTTTTTAATTCTATTTATAGACTTATATATTCGCAATGGAAGTACCTGCCGCCTTTCACGGTTTGAAAAATCGTTATGAAAATTTACGAGCAAAATTTAGTTTTGGACATTTTGATCCTGTTGAACAAGGACAAATATTTCAGAAAGAAGTGCAACATTGTTACGATGCTAATCAAAATGCTCAATGGCACGATGATATCATTCTTCTGCCATTGCCGATACCATCGAATCCCACAACAAGTGAAGAATCTACAGCAACATTTTTACTTGAAACATTATGGACGAAATTTTCTAACATGTAAATATTTTTGGGTAAAAGCATGAAATTCAAGACAGTGTTATACATTAAGCGTGAACTGTCTACTTTTAATAAAATAAATTTAAAGAAAAAGTCAGGAAAGTAATGGAATGTTTTTTTAGATATCTCATTGACGTTATTATCAAGCAATAGTGACTTCCACTTCTCATTTCTATTTTACTTTTGAGATCTGGTTGGAATATCTTGGTCGGGAGATGCTGATTCGTATTTTGATGTTCAACATTTTGATGTACAATGTATGACACATATTGAAAATATTCAACTTTTGTTTAACGTTGAATTAATTCAGTCTAACAAGCAGCATTTATCTTTGAATTACTTGTCCCTTGATTATAAGAGTCACTGTACGTAAGCCACGGCCAACATTCTTCAGTCATGTTCTGAAAACGTTTTCGAATTAGGGGGCTCTTTTAGACCAAACATTTTGGTGAATTTTGGCAAAAGGCGCAAGTCAAAACTTGTATGGTTGCTGAGATATTGAAATTTTACGAAAAGTCCCGAAAAACGGATTCGGCCATCTTAAAAATTTGCCAACTTTAACCTCTTGTAACTCATTAACGACAGATTACTTAACCTTGAAGATTTTACCATAAGTAGTAGATAGTGTCCACGATCACCCAAGTAGCCACGAGCACACAACATACTTTCGATATTTTGTAACACATGGCGCACTAAGGACCGAAATTCACAAAACCTTGAATTTTCCTGTTGCACCTATTTGAAACGAAGTGTCAGAACGAGTGAGCGTCCGAATGACCCAAAATCAAAGTCATGCTTGGCTCCCACTTTGAAGAGGACACTTTAGGCTATTTACTCATAGACACCAAAAAAGAACCAAAATGGTGAAAAAAAGAAAAAGATTTATTAGTCCAGAGAGAAACGTATTTAAAATAAGGTACAAAATTATTAAATTGATTCTTAATATAAGTCGTTTAATATTTTTCCGCAGTATATACGAAAAAATGTTAATAAGAAAAATATTAAGAATCAATTTACTAATTTGGTACCTTATTTAAATACTTTTCTATCTGGACTAATAAATCTTTTTCTTATTGTAAAATAGAAACATACTTAACTATATTTAAAAAAAATAAATATAAAACCTGGCAATGATGTTAATACTAAATTGATTTTTAATATTAGTCGTTTGATATTCTTCTTTTTAACATTAGTCTATAGACCCCTTTAGCCGACAGGCAGGTTCCTGTTGGGGGCCTGTAGAGCCCGAACCACAGTAGATGGAGGCTTGGAACTTACGGTCGGCTGTAGAGTGACATCTGTTGTAAATCCACATGTGTTTAGAGCAGTATTTTTCTATGTAGATTTCTGAAATAGCAGACTCGGACATTTTGCCTCGAAAGGTCACGGTGGTAAACCTGATTTCATTTCGTAGGATTATAGCCCCAACTGTCCTCTATCAAATGCTGAATTCGCAGGTCTGTATCTCATTCCTATCAATAGTTATTCAAAAAGTTTTGAGTTTTTATGCTAAAACTTACTCAAAAAATTTTCTAATAATACTTCGCCTTTTCCTGTATTGGTCAGTAATTATCAAATGGCTTTTAGTTTTAATAAGATGCTCAGTCGAAAAGATTCAACAGAAGACCTATTTCATCGTATTAATTATGATTTATTCCGAGAGCAATTATTTTCCTATCTAAATATATTCTGTATAACTGATTTTAATAGAGAAATATCAAAATAAACACTTTCTGAACTAACGGGGGAACCTTTCTAATTATTCTATCGCTTTTTTCACCAGACCTAGTGGGTTATAGGTTATCAACTACGCTGATTCCGAATATCCACATGAGATGGACCCATAGGCCTTCCTAGAGCTGTTGTCCGGAAAACTAGCTTTTCAAAAACTCTGCAAACTAACTAAACCTTTCTTAATAGGTCATGATTGTATCTGATTAAAATGAGACATCTCCTAGCTCTACATGACCTTTCTTTACAAAGCTATAGAGTTTACAAGCAAGCACTAAACGTTCAGCTCAAAAGGAGAAATTAATTTAGGGCTTTTCTTGTAAACTCTATAGCTTTGCAACGAAAGGTCATGTAGAGCTAGGTGATTTTTAGACCGCTAATTTTAATCAGACATTAGCGGGCTACAATCATGACTCATTAGGAAAGGTTTTAGTTAGTTTGCAGAGTTTTTGAAAAGCTGATTTTCCGAAAAACAGCTCTAGGAAGGCCTCAAGGGGGAAAAGCTGATTTGAAGCTCTTTTCGATTTTGGTCCTCTGTAATAGGTTTAAATCGATTTCGTGGCTCAAAATCGATTTTGGCCGATTCTGTCACTCAAAATCGATTATGCAAGAATCGATTTTCAGCCATTTTCAAGGGGAGAAAAGCTGGTTTTGGGTATCAAAATGACTGAAAATCGATTCTTGCGTAATCAATTTTGAGTGACAGAATCGGCCAAAATCAGCTTTTCTCCCCTTGGAAGGCCTAGCGACCCGTCTCATATGGATGTTCGGAATCAATATGGTCGATAGTCTATAACCCACCAGGTTCGGTGAAAAAAGCGATTGAACAGTTAGGAAAGTTCCCTCGTGAGTCTTGTTCGTACATGGCTAAAGATACATAATGGCTACCTTCATCAAACTCCGAATTTTAGCTGCAAAAATGCATTTTTTATGACAGTTTTGGTCTTCTAACAATCATTTTACTTATAACTTCTAGAACACATTAAATTCTGTTATTTTGTGTCAAATTCTTTCATTGGAAACTCGCTGCCTAATTTATCATTAGAAGGACTTACGAGGGAACATCGCCAAGTGATTAAAAACTTTGTCGGTCATACTTGGCTGATAGATAGGGCATGTGATTATAAGAAAAAGGTAACTGGATTCGGACCCATGCGGCTTGGTTCATGAGATATCGAAACTTCATGTTATTTAAGATGTTGTTGCCCTATCTCTTGTTTTTTTAATATTTCAACCGTTGATTTTCATTTTTAGTAAAAATCTCAGTGATTTTTCGAGATAAAAAAAAGATGGCCAGAAAGAATTAAAGAAGTACATTATTCAACTCAGTTTTCAACGCTACTTCTGAATATGATATTTTTATTGCGTAAAATTTGAGCTCTCCGAGAAAAGATTGAGAAGTACAGGCAGGAATTCCCACTTTGCGCCCTGATTTAGAAAAAATGAATTTTGTCGGTAACGAAATAAAATTAAAAGAAAAGCGATCGATACTTTTAAAGCTCATTGAATCGCGGTACTAACGAAGTAAAAAGGTCGGCTTCATCTCTTCACAAATGGAACTAGATAGGTTCGCAAAATTGTTTATGAACTTTTTACAGCGGGAGTCTGAGACGTCAGACCTTTAACATCAAACTCGATCAAACACTATTTCCATCTTCAGCTTTTAATGCTGAATTAGAAAAAAATACGTTTGAAAAGTTAGGGGAACGAACATGACGAAAATTTGAAATATTTTAAACTAAAGAGGGAAGTACCCAACTGATAAATCGCTTTTTCAACGAAACCGAGTGGACTATAGTCGACGATACTGATTCTGAATATCACCATGAATGCTGCTGCTAGGCCTTTAATGAACGGTCTTCTGAAGAACCAGTTTTCGAGAAACTCTAAAGGGCAACTAAAAGCTTTCTAATGAGGCGTAATTGTAGTCCATAAATTTCTGATTGAAACGACGCATCTCCCAGCTCTACACGACCTTTCTTTGCAAAGTTATAGAGTTTACAAGAAAAGCCCTAAATTCATTTTTCGTTTTCTTTCTGTAGCTCTGAGGTGACAATGAACATCTAGGGCTTTTCTTGTAAACTCTATAACTTTGCAAAAAAAGGTCGTGTAGAGCTGGGAGATGTCTCGTTTTAATCAGAAATTTATGGACTACAATTACGCCTCATTAAGAAAGCTTTTGGTTGTTCTTTAGAGTTTCTCGAAAACTGGTTCTCCAGAAGATCGGTCTTCGAAGGCCTATCAACAGCATTCATGGTGATATTCGGAATCAGCATCGTCAACTACCTATAGTCCACTCGGTTTCTTTAAAAAAGCGATTTATCAGTTGGGGTACCTCCCTCGTAAGTAGAGATGCAGCGGTTACGGTTATAACCGAACAACCGGTACCGGTTGTAACCGGTATCGGTTACAACCGCTCATCGGTTAACCGTAACCGGTGCATCTCTAGTCCGAAGAGAAGGAGGACGAAAAAGATGAAAGCGTATCAGATGATGAAGACAAATTATGTGAAACAGAAAATAATAGTTATCGACGATTAGACGAACTGGATCTGTATTTAGCATTGAAAATTGATAAAGACCGTCTGCCAACAAATCCACTTGAATTTTGGCATGAAAATTAAAGAACGTATCCAATTCTATTAAAAGTAGCCCGGAAAATACATTCCATACCCGCTACAACGGCCGAAAGGCAATTTAGCTCTGCTAGGCTTGTCGTACAGAAGCGGCGATCAAGTACAAATCCAGAGCAAGTTGATAATGTTTTATTAATTCGTTCAGTTGAGAGAATGAACAGTTTATTGGAAAGAAAATAATTCTTTTTTGTTATTTTCTTGTGTCGTCTCTGTAGAGTATCATTGATGCTCTCGAACAGATTTTAACACTTTTTGTATGTACTGTAATAAAATGTTTCTTGGCAATGGTCGTGCTACTAATGGTTCCGACAGTATACCGAAGTTTGCAAAGTCCATTGGACTGTTTACTCAATCTACTGAACTGCATTGGACTCAAAAAGATATTTTTCTGGACTGAACTGAAAAATCTGAGTCTAGTAGCCTACAGAAAAGGTTTGCTTAGCTTGTTTTCTCGCTGCAACAATAGGTACTTCAGATCATCTCTTTGAATATTTTCTCTCTCGTGGTTAAAAAGAAATTTTTTATGCTTCTCGCTTACGATTGGCTTATCCATAGAATATCTGACAGCCATTTCTCCGTATTTTACACACAGACAACCATTTTGTAAGACCCTAGACTAAAGTCAAGGGAAAATTGAG